AAGGAGTGGGGAAGGGGATGGAGAGCGGAGAGGAAAAGAGGGACTTTTTGGCCCCCGTCGAGTAGCCCGCTTCCGGGATTTCATGGCCTTGGGTCCGAAAAACTTTTTTATACACATTCACAAGCGCCGGTTATATTTATATCCATCCATACGACACGGCTTGAACGGACGAAGAAATTAAGCACACGACACATCATCCTTCACATCATCCAGCAATCGAAGATTATTCCCGGGGGACCCCTCGGGGTGGGGCCTATTGAAAAGGCTTGAGTTCTAGAACGAGCCAACCAATAACCAATGTTACTGATTGGTAGACTGGCACGATGATTGATCCAACCAGAACTCCTGTACGAGTTGCGCCGTACTGTACTCGATACGGTACGTACGACCAGAGCGAGCAAAAAGGGCGTTGCTACGAATACCACACCACCGCAGAGCAAGTGCATGTCGGCATGGTGCCGGTCACCGAAATTCACGGTCGCTTACTAAGCAATCGATCATCTTCCCCTCTGGGATAGACTGGTTATGCGACAGCAAATGATCGGCCAATATATTACCCCATTTAGCGCAGTGTCGCCAAGAATTTTACCCGACACAAGTTCGCTTTGGTTGCCCTGGCGTCACGGCAAGTGGAGATTCCTTCAAATCCTTCTCTAGACTGTCATAAAGTAAACACTTTCACAGAAGCCTTTTGAGCTTGGGAGCTGAGGTTGCTGTGCCAGGTGAGGTTGAAGTTGGCCATGTTCGAGGTGATGGGGGCGTTCATTTGCATTGTCCGGCACTGTACTCGAGTACTCGTACTCGAGCACTGGTATTCGTTTACAATAGGAAGGGGAGGAAAAAAAAATGACCGCAGAGCTCATGTTTGACGCATGTACGGTACTCGTGCATTACTCGAGTACTGATGGACAAAAAAAAAAGAAAGAAAGAAAGAAAAAAAGAAAGGAAAGAAAAAAAGAAAGGAAGTGAGCTGGCTGGCCCCGCGCGCTCAAAAAAAAAATCAAAAAGTACTGTGCTCGCGGACAGTAAACAAAAAAAACGCTCCTCTTTTTGGAACGTAGCACAAAGAATGGCTGGAAATCACACTCTTGTTTCTTGGTACTCTATTTGCTTTTCCCACCATTTTTCCTCTGGGAGTACCGGTACCGTATAGGGCAAGCCTGGGAGAGGAGAGGACTTTCCTCTCCAACGGAGCTGGCCGGCCCATGAGAAACAGAGCTCTGCGTGCTTTTCCTTTTCTTTCCTTTTTTTCCTTCCCTTCTCTCCCTCACTCACCCTTCCACCAACCGCATTGTTGCCCATGCTTTCGATCCTTTTTTTTTTCTCCTTCAACTCTGGGGTAACTTTATGATATAGGTTGGAGGAGCTTTCCGTTCCCCGCATTTTTCATTACTTTTTTTCTCTTTTTTTTTTCCCTGTGGGTGACGACGATGATTCATGTATGGCAGGATGGCTGGGTCTTGCGTCCGTCATCTGGATGGATGGGTAGTGGTGTGTCTCGTGAACTGTTACTGTTAAAATCCCGCTCTCCGGTATGAATGATTTTCACCTTTGCATAACTAACTACCCAACTCTCACAAAAGTGAAAAGAAAAAAAAAAACCTCCATGAGTGCGGGGAAAAGGAGGTCGGCATAGCGTGAGTAAGTATAGTTATAGCACCGTATGCCGCCGTTCCTTTCTTCTCGAGTGCTCGTATCATACTTGTGTGCTGATGGTGATGGTTCCCGGGAGGGAAAGGAATCATGCTCGGGTACTCGAGTAAATAGCAAACTCAATGATTAAATGTGCGAGGATCCAGAACCGACGCTTTTGGTCTAACCTTATTAACTACTCGAGTACCGGTACCACAAGTACTGACTGGCACGGTAATCGACTGCCGGTACCGGTACGAGTACAAGTACTAGTACTCTGCGGTGAGACAAGCGACCATTACCGTATCCTAATCTTGTCACGAGTACTTGTAGCTCTTGTCTAGGCGTCAACCAAGACATCAACTCCCGAAACGGGCTATGATGCATCAATTGATTGGTTGGTTGGTTGGTTGATTCAGTGATTGACCCGGGAAGAGAATAGCACAAGGAGAACGACTGGTCGACCTATTTTTTTTCTTTTTCTTCCCTCTATCCATCTGTCTACTCGTAAGTATTTTTTTGCATCGAAAGGATTCGTAGACTAACAGGTGCCTTAATATCGTAGAAGGTGGAAACATATGATAGACAGAAAGAGGGGATAGAGGGGAAGAAAGAAAAAAAAAAGGTCGACTTCCGATGGTTTTGCCATTGATCTACCCTCCCTCTTCTACATCTATTGTACCATGCTATTTCCATGGACGAGAATTGAGTTGGAGGGATTGCCGCACGCCCGGCATCAATCTCCTCAACAATTTTTTCTCTTCTTTTTTTTTCTTTTTCTTTTTTCCCTTTTTTTTGTCTTCCTTCCTTCATGCGCGTCAGTTAGCAAACGTAAAGGATCGTGTCTGGCTGGCAGATGTGCCCGGGAACTCGGGACTCTCAACAAGGGGTTGGAGAAAAGGGGAATCTAGCACGAGCATCAGGAGGGAGAGAGCGAACTAGGAAGATGCGGAGGTCCAATCGTGGAAGCACGGTATGTGGCTTGGCTGGTGACATATTAATCAAATTTTAGGGAGAAGTCGAGTCCCGATCCTGCCATGAGATGGGGGGATACGCATCAGAGTGGCCACAGTACAAGTACCGTACCATATTGTTACGATATTCCTACCGAAGGGAATGGATAAGAAAGCTGCATATCATACCGGTACCGGCACAGTACGGTACTCGAGTACTGGGGCAGGATATGTCCAGGGCAGGGTGGGGTACTTGGGCAGGGGGAGTGATGATGATGATCGAATGGTGAGAATCACAGTACTCGAGTACCGGTACTAGTACGAGCACGAGCACTGGTACTGGTACAATGAAGCAGAAATTCATGTTTAGGGAGGGTGAAAGGAGACACAAAAAGATTTTTCAAGAGCGCGGAAAGAGCGCTTCTCGCTACCCCGCCTTTACAAGATGAAAGACAAATGGGAATCCCAATTCTCCGGGTTCTCTTGCATTGGCGTGACCCCCCTGCTTTCCCTCCAAATGGGTTGCTCAGGCGCACGAGGCTATAAGGGAGTACTGTACTGTACAGAGGTGCGTGGTCTCGTCTTTTTTTTCCTTCTTGCTTCACTCTTTTCCTTTCTTTTCTTTATTTTACCCCCTTTGGAGGGAGGCTTCATGGCACTCGAGTCAGATAAGGGTACTATAAAGTATCTTAGCTTGGCAACATTCTTATTCATCCCCTCTCTCCCTTTCTTCACTCACCCAGTTACCGTAACTGTCGATGACTCGGGTACACGAGTACCGGGACCGGTACCACTGTCGCTTTTGTCCGCGAGTGCACCGGGCTTATCCTATGGCTAGCGAGCTATTACCGAGGGAGAGGGTACTGCAACGTGGAGAAGAGCACAGGTACGAGCACTCCCGCTACAAGTACGGTAACGGCAGATCTATTTATTGACCTCTCATTCCCCGCTGTACTCGAGCACTCGTACTAGTATACAAGTACTCGAGCACTGCCGTGGTGATATTGTCATGCGCCCGTCTTCACCCTCTGTCACTCTCTGTGGTCGGGGCAAACTAATAACCCGACCACAATTACAAATTGAAAATATAAAAATATAAAAAAAATGACAACCTCGTTTAACTGGTGTTGACCGCCTGCCTGCCTGCCTGCAAGGGTGTTAAACCTCTTGTTCTCGTTAGATCTGCACTACCGGTACTGTATACCTTAAAATCGTCGTGTTATTCTCCCCCCTCCGGGGGTGGATGCAGTGAATTTCTGGGCCGCTTGAGATGTGCTACCGCAATGCATTTATTACCGTGTTGATTTCCAAGGTTCAGTCAGTGCGGTGGGGTAGTGGCCAATGTCCCGTTTGAGTTCTCGCGAGCGAGCGAGCCCCATCCCCGGACGAATTAAGTATAAATACCGCTTTTGGGGAAAAGGTAGGGCCCAATTGGTGAGGTTTGTGAATAGGGTTGTTGTCTACGGTACCGGTATTCTGTACGATCCCTCTCTCTTTTGTATCCTCTCACCCTCTCCCTCTCCTGCCATAAGCTCCACTCTTCTTCCCCTTCTGCCTTTCACTAATAGTAGGAGGAGGCAAGGAAAAGGAAATGTTGCAAGCTCGGTCTCAACCCCAAGCATCCTGTTGGATACCTATTGGCTATGTACGGCAGGAGAGAAGTCCTTTTGTCGAAACGGGTGAGCTCTTGGACCGCCTTACTCCCTTCGACTGGGTGAGGGGAGGTACGGTACAGCTTCTCGTCCTTAGTCATTGTTAGCGAAAAGCTTTGTAGCTGAAAGTGTTCGAGTTAGACGTGGCGTATTTTCATAATTATACCGGTATGCTGCATACAGGGAAGAGGGATGTGGGAATCGGAGATGGTATTTTTGCTTAAAGAGTAACATCTGGGGGAGGGGAGGGAGAAAGTGGACTCTTGTTGGTCATCACTCTTCCTCACAAATTACTTCCCCCTCTATCACAACTGCTCACCACTCCCCTCCCCCCTCCTACTCCACAACCATCCTATGATTGACCTCGAGAAGTGATTGAATTACTGGTCAGCAATCAGAAACGTTACTGTGGCTGGTTCAACTGAATGAGACGTTATGCACGGGACTGGAAGTGAAAACCCTTTACAGGTTTAGCATTAGTTAATAATTTGTGGGACCCTCCGCTCTGCGCTGATCTGTGTTTTTTTTCATCCTGCTTTTTTCCCATAATCTAACACGCCTGGGTGCTGCAAGAAACAATCTCTATTAGCTAGAAGAATTAGGGAAAGAAGATCCAAGTTAAGGCGCAGTCAGCAGCAAGAGTGAAGATTGCTGGACTTGTTCTCATACGTACCATACCCGTACTTGCACCTCTTTCTTCCGCTTCCTCCACTCTTCATCCATCAACTCATCCATCCAACCATCCACCCCTCCACCCCATCCACTCCGCTTCTTTCCCCACTCCTCTCCTTCTACCGCTCCAGCACAGTGCCAACTTTCAATATCAGAAATATTCAAGCTTGGTATCCTGTTTGTTACTGTATCTCTTGCTCTTCCATTCTCTTACACAGTATCACACTCGCGGGCTCACACGCCTGCATACACCCAACTGCGTATCAGACCTACATACGCCTACCGGTGCCGGCTGCGGGCCCAGTGTCTTTGTCCCACCAAGAAAAAAAAAAAAGAGAAGACGAGCAGACAGGCGGGCGACAGTTGGAGGAGGTGAAAAAAAAAAAAAAGAACCGGGGACGGTGAAAAAAAAAAATTGGCCACAGGAACAGACTGGGTAAGGTTGCATTTTTACCCCCGGGTCTCACTGCTCGACCAACAGCGTCAAAACCCTCGTCCGTCGCTGTCATCTTCTGCAATTGGATTTGCTTCGCTTTTTCTTCGCCCCGCGTCGTTGAATTACAGGAGACACGATACTCCACAGTCCCGTGTCGTTGTCTCCACGATCGATCTGCTTTTATCCTAGAGTGTATTCTTTTGTTCACCTCCTTTCCAAGCCTCGGAAAAAGGGTAGTCAATCACGACGCCGGTCATCCACATCCATCCGTTCATCCATCCAACTCATCCACCCATACCAACATTTTGTCCATACCTCCCTCTACCCTTACACCCATCCTCGCCGCACCCTTTATGCCCCACCGGCCATTCTCGGCACACAACCACCGATCAAATATTGTCCGATCCTCGCTTCCAACATCATATTTTGGATTATTAGTGCCTTGCTTAGTCGTCAAACCCTGTAAGCTTTTCCCATTTGCCCAAAGTGCCCCACGATTCTCCAACCCGCAGAATAGAGAACGGAGGAAAAAGAGGAACAAGAGAAAAGACCCGCAGACTTACCATTCGCTATTTGATGCAGCCTTGTTGAAAGCTGTTACTTCCGTGCATTGCGAATCCTCCGAGTTTTTTCGTTTGAACATCCCATCTCGCTGGTCCACTCTTCCCTCCGTTCACCGGTAGTCACTCCCCTAGGCTCGCGGGTTTTAACAGTCCAACAGGATTTCGACCCTTACCTCCACTCCGCCCCCCCCCCTTGTTCAATTGCAATTGGGAATCGTCTGTCGGTAAAAATATCTAGGGCAAAACTGGTTCTGAAAGCGAAAATAAGAAATATATTTACATCGAGGTTTCTAATTTTTCGTGAGTACTGGAGCTCATGTTGATTCGCATCGGCCGCATCATGGTTCGCATTTAGCAGCCTCTACCCACCAGATCAACAACACATTTTGAACGTACCCAGAAACAAATTGCAAACTATCATCGATTATCCAGCGATTCAAGTAATTTTCGATCAGACCAACACAAAGAAGTATTCTTCGCAAGTTGTATGTCTACCGCCGGACACCATCAAGCGGCAGGATCTTACCAGCAACCCCGAGAGATGGAGGAGAAGGCCCGAGGCAGAGAAAGAAATAGAGACGGAATGATGGATGGGAGTGGGGGTCAAGTTATCGGTGGTCCGTTGAGCAGCAGTTCAGACCCCCCTTCGAGGAAAAGGAGGAGGAGTAGGAAAGGGCTAGACAAGAAGTTTGAGTGCCCGGCGGAAGGATGCGGTAGAAGCTATTCTAGGGCAGAGCACTTATACAGGCACCAGCTGAATCGTAAGGTTTCCCTTAAGATTTCCCGAACCTTATATTTTTAGAGGGCGGCCGTCAATGAAACCATGAATCCCTTTCCTTTTTCATTGACCCCATATTGTGGGAAATCTTTGATAAGGAAGTGTTTATTTTCCGACCTTCGGAGCAAGCAAAACAGCGGCAGAGCCATTATTTTGAGCAGCCAACAGTGCTGACTGTCGATGGGCTATAGATCAACCAAAGCAGATATATTTTTGCGATTTTCCCGACTGCAAGCGATCGTTCGTCCGTCAAGACCTGTGCATGCGACACCGGGATCGCCATACAAATCGGCCGGGCTCTCAGCTCCAGAGAAAGGACAGCCTTCTAAATAATCCTGCAGGGGCAGCCGCTAGGAACATTCTTTCCGAGAGAGGGGGTTCCATGAGTAAGGGCTCTTCTTCCCCGGAATCGCCAAATGGCCCGGGTCTCATGATGAAGAGTGGAGAGGACGAATCCCCTATCATGACACCTAATGGGGTTTCTATGAATATGACTGCGTCCCCTGATACCAGTTTGTCATCCGCTACTTTACCTAATTCCTCCAGTTCTACCACGCCGAATGTTGATAATCGGGCCAAAATTCGAAGAACGACCGCCGATTCTGGACCTGCCCAACGAGCGACGAATGGGATTGCGGAAATGCACGCGCAGGCAGTCCGGAGATATAGCGTAGAACATGTGAGATTGAAATCAGAGGCATCTCCGGTCGATGTCAATACGTTATATGGTGGAGGTCAACAACGTCCAGGATTGTCTAGTAGTAGCAAATCCGATTTCGCTCGTCCTCCACTCCAAACTTCTGTGGGGCCTAACCAAACTATCGGTGGAATGAATATGCAACCATTATCGGCATCCAGTGTATCCTCTGGGGGCCATTTCTCTGCGCCCCTCACTAGCGCAACAAGTGCTGGATCTTTGGCGGCAACTACTGGTACAAGCGTGGGCCCTGCATACAATCCTCAAACCTCTTTCACTCCCTTTTCCTTACCACAACCGGCCTATCCAAATCTTAGCCAGAGCAACGCTTCCAACCAAGGGCAAAACCAGTACATCACGTCGCCCCCCACGAGCTCATCTTCAGTGGGCGCATCGAATTCTATTGGCGGCGTTACCACAACGGATGTGGATTTTGAGTCTATGAACGTTCCGTTCACACTGCCTGTTTTCGGTAATGACGGCTATACTCGTTCTCCAAATTGGATGGCGGATGACTTTGCCACTTGGTTTTTTGAGGGCACGCAACTACCTGGTGGGAGTAGGACATCCTCTATTGGCGGTAACTATGTTGACAGTCTCACGATGGGGCCACAGAACCTCTATCTGGGCGGTCCAGAGTTCCAGACCCACAACTATTACCCTCACCCACTACAACCGCAGCATCCCATGGCGGTTACGAGTCTGATAGCCCCCCCAAGCCCTCCTCAAGAGTCTCTTTTGTCCGAGCATAAACGGCAGGACTTGATGGATCATATTGAAAACTATCCCGAGATGTCTGATCTTTCGCAGCGCACAGGCTCTTTAGTGCTCGGTTCCGCCGAAGATGACTCACACGCTTTGAGTTTACATATGATGCAGTCTTATATTTCTAGCTATTGGCTTCACTTTCATCCACAGCTTCCCATTCTTCACAGGCCAACGTTCTCGGCCGACAAAACCCCTAGCCTCCTCCTCCTCACAATGATGGCCATCGGTGCATCCCTGATCGGCACCAAGGTGGACCCGACTGTCGCCCAAGCAGCAACAGACCTGTCTGTTATTCTGGCCTGGAATCTTCGATGGCAGATATTTTCGGATATGGCTTTCCGGCCTCCAGCGAAATTATGGGTCTTTCAGGCGTTGCTTTTGTTGGAAACTTTCGAGAAGATGTTCGCATCCAGGGCGCTTCATGAGCGGGCTCATATACACCATGCTACCACTCTTACACTGATGAGAAGAGGTTCATCACTGACTGGAAGGTGTGCCTACGATTCCCCACAAAGCGGACGTGATGTCAAGTCCAACAGTGACAACGGCAGTGCAGCGTTTTCTGGCCAATCATCGGGCTCCGCACCAGTGGAAGATGCATGGAATCGATGGATCGTTAGCGAGGCGACAAAAAGAGCGGCTTTTGCGGCTTTTGTGCTTGATTCAACACACGCCACAATGTTTGGTCATTCAGCTGTGTTGGTAGCACACGAGATGCGGCTTCAGCTTCCCTGCGACGAGACGCTTTGGGCAGCAACCAACGGAGCCGAGGTTTTCAGGATTGAGCATTCACTGCTGCAAGCCGGAGTTAAGCCCACGACCTTCCTCGACGGCCTGAAGAAGACATTGAACGGGCAGAACGTGCGGACCAATTCTTTTGGGCGGACTATACTTATGGCTGGTTTGTTAAGCGTGAGTTGGCACATGGCCCAGAGGGATCTCCAGGTTACATCTCTTGGTGCGGTTGCCCAGCTTGGAGGGAAGGACAAATGGCGGCAGTCCTTAACTCGATCATTTGACTACTGGAAGAAAGATTTCGATAGCGCATTAGAAGGGATCAGGGCAGGGTCGGGTACGTACGAGGGTTCTAACTACTGCTTGCCCTCCACTGAGGATGTTGAACACGAAACCACCTTCGAGAGCCGGAATGTAATGCACCACCTGGCTCACATGTCAATGCACGTTGATATTGTGGACCTCCAGATATTTGCCGGGGCAAAGCGGTTATTAGGGCGCACTGTTATCCCGAGTGATGCGGCGCAGGTTCGTAAACGGGTAAAGGATTGGGCACCAAGTGCTCGAGCTAGGGATGCTACATTCTATGCATTGCAGTTCCTTTGCCAGGTGTTGTTGCCCGAGGAGCGAGTAGATATGCCTTATACAGCGGACGATGATGACCTTGGTGCACCTCGGAAGCTCAGCTCGGCGACCACTGGCATTCCGATCTACTCCGCACGAGATGACCACCTCTTGAACCGGCCATGGGTGCTCTATTACGCTTCGCTTGTTGTTTGGTCATATGGGTTCGCACTGGAGGGCCAGGTCCAAGTCCCCCGGTCATACTTCAGCACTCCCGCGGCTCGACATCAGGACATGAGGACCTTTTTGCGACGAGTAGGGGGAGTTAGGTCACCAGAAGAACTAGCAAATGTTCGGGATAAGAACGCTTGTTTGGGTCTTCTGCTGACGTTACACGGTATGTTTGCGAAAGCCCGGTGGGAACTTTTGGTTGAAGCCTCGAGATTGTTGGACCAATGCGTTTCTATTTCCACCGGCGAAATTCAGACATAATGGGGGCATTGATTTTCTTTATATACCATTTTCTTCCGGGTTTCTCAAGGTTTCATCTTACTGGGCGGCATATTCTGATCTTTATCTTTAGCCTCTTGCGGGCAGGCGCAAATCGTTTTTGTTCTCTTTTTCATATTTCTGTTTATCTTATGGGTCCGGGAGGAATAGCTCTGGTTTGCTTTCATATCTTGTTCGGCATCGCATTTCTTTTTCTCCCTTATATTATTATTATTATTATTCGTACCTGTTTGATGAGTTTGAGTTGAGGGGAGAAGAAAACCCTTACATATACCCCCGCCTGGTCATACATGTTTCAGTATATATATAACATAAATCCATTCCTGTCCTGCTATGTAACCCCTCAGACTTCTCTCTCTTGTTTTTACGTCGTTTGTATGAATGGAATATCTGTTCTCTCTTGGTCTACTTGGCTTCTCGTTGCATAATCTCTGTTAGTTTTTTTTTTCCTATTCTTGCTTGCTTGCTTGTTTACCGGCGTCCATAACCACCCCTCCCTCCGTTTTCCTGCAAAATCGAAACTTATCTACTCTCCTTCGCGTGCTTACCCTCCCCCATAAGATCAGCACAAACACTTTTCGGTCCGGTACGATTCGCTCGGTGCTTCGGAGTACAAATATTCTTCTCCCGCCCCCTTTTTTCTTTTTTCCTTTTTCAACATTTCATTTAATCTCCCGCTTACTTCCTCCTTTACTACTCGATACCAATCCCTCTTCCCCCTCCCTTTTATTTTTGTCGTAGGCTGCATTCTTGCTCAGCGAAAATGGGAATTTGTGAATGTTTTTTTCTTCTGCTTTTCTTTTTGTGTAGTTTGAAAAGGAATGGAGTTGGAAGTGTGGGGATTTGATGGTGGGAGGTGTATGTTTATGAGTTTGAATTTTGATACCACTTTTGATTTTCGCTTTGATACACTACCAAGTGAAAGTGAAGTGAAAGTGAAGTGAATCGTGGTCATGATGTCGCACTCGGGATTGGAGGTTTAGGGGTGGTGGGGGGTTACGTGGGCACGTGCTTTCTGGCAGTATAGTAGTGTGGTGCGCCCATTCACCAGATGCAAGACTTCAGGTGAACGAGTGGAGCCAGCCATTCACAAAACATTTGTAAGGATTGGGAAACATTGACTGGCCGATACATGGAAGTATCATACCCCAGCAGAGGGGCTTAACGAGTTACCGAACGCTCAGGTCCCCGTGACCTCGAGTTCGTCCGGTCCCGGCCGGGATCACTCGCACTTGACAAACAAAAGTCTGCTAACCGCGTAATAATCATGGACAATCACTCGTTCTGTACCTCCCTCGGGGCTACGGAAGGTGCTTCCCTCCATCCCTCGCGTCTTCTGCCGACCAAGAGCTTAAGTCATC